AATGAAAGATCAAGTGGATAAACAATGCGGATTTATTTTCACAGCCTTCTTTGATCATATTTACCAAGGGTATGAATAATTTTGAGCACAACTGTAGCTATAGCTCTGAGGTTGTTTGGTTTGTTTGTTGACGTAATGGATATGTCCCACGTTCTGCTCATTTTTATGTATTTTATGTTTTGTTGTATTACTGCAGGCCTATTTTAGTATTGTGTGGAGCCTTCTTCCACAGGATGGCTGTTTCAGTAACCTATCGTAATATGGGTGCCATATTTGGATGTTCCTAATACAAAATTTTAACATTTTAACATTCAAATGTTTCATTTAACAATCATCATCGCACACCTGCAGGTAATAGATATAGGTGCGTAGGAAAAAAGACAAAAAAAAATGTTCCAGTCCTCTAATTTGATTAGGAGTGCAGTTTCTCTCTTGCTTTTTTCGCTCACATGCGCTGTTCCAGACCAACTTTTAGCTTTTAGTCTGTGCATTATGGAAGCTTATTTCTACCATGGAATAAAAAAAGCAATTCAACTTTTTTTCCTCACAAAATTAGCACAATTCTGACTTTTTCCTCTTGCAAATCTGAGTTTATATCTCACAATTCTGACTCTTTTTAGATATAAAGTCTAAACTGAATTGCAAAATGAAAACTCAGAATTCAGAGGGAAAAGTCACAATTGCAATTGCGAGACATAAAGTTGGAATTTATCAAGTTAGAATTTTGAGATATAAACTCGCAATTCCTTTTTTGCTTTAATGGAGAAAGGCCTCATCCGTTTCATTAATCTGACCGCCCTCAATAGATACCATTAAGCTAAAATTAATTTCTAAGAATAATAGCATCTCATAACGTATTAGAACACAATCAGATCCAGATGTTGCCTTTTTTCATTTTTCCTGTTTACATTTTTTTTCCCCAACTGATTATTTGACTAATTCATCTCACCACACCTTTTTCTCAGATCAAAAAACGTCAGGAAAAAAAACAACAACAACAGGAAATCCACAATCTTTTCTCCAAATGTTTGGTAGTAACATGCTACAGTAATGAGGCTTGGTGTTTATTTATAGAAAGTCCGAACATTGATTTCAGGATTGAATTTCTAAAAGCAATATACATTCAACTAGGATTCTTTAATACTGCCTCATGTCATATTTATCCTTTCTGGTCTCTTTTAAAAAAATGAGATCAATATAGGTGACCTATACTCAGTGGACCGGTTTTATAATCAGATTAAGCTTTTGGACTAGAAAGCAGTTTATTTAGAAACATTATTATGAAAGTAATCTATAGTTCAGTAATATCCTTAATATGCATAACAGGAATTTGGTCCCCACAATTTAATTTTTAAAGTGGCGTCAAGCTCTGTATTTCCAGTTGTCTTTAACGTATGAGTGATTTCATGTAATGTGCCGATTAAGAGTCAATC